CACACACACACACACACACACACACACTGTATTTTCCATTCATTACATTAAAGGGAGGGAAAATGCTTCTTCTGTTTCACATTTTTCTCAAAGTGAGGGCGGAAAGCACGTTCACTCACACGTATCAATTATTTACACTTCTATCAGCATTAATGGACACATCACTCACGTTTTGGGCTCGATCTATAAGTTGTTTAGCAAATGGTCCTCCTCCCATAAAGAACAGTCCCTCCACATATAATTTAACATGGGAGATTTTAAATGACATGATATCAGAACCTTCTCCTCTGAAGTGTGGAGTTTAGAGTAATTCAAGATTACAATATTAAAGGTAGCCTCCACGTGCAGGAAACTGAAACTCTCCATCTATAGCTTTCATTCTGCTATAAATAACATATTTTCTTTCCTTCTGTCCCTCTCGTCTCACTCTTTTCTCAGAGTTACTCTGTTTAGTGGGCTCACTTTCCTCCTCCCACCTGCTGACCTGCTGCTGTGATCTTTTCTCCACTCACTCTGGTCTTTCATATATAATGCATGTTAAACAAACAGACATGTCAGAGTCGCTCAGACACATGGCCGTCCCCTCGCTGCAGCTGTAGTCACCCTGACAGAGGGGGGTGGTTATGTCTATGTGGGCTTCCTGTGCAACACAAAGCGTGTGTTTTAGAAGCTGGGCATGGGGGAATTGATCTTAGAACTGCACAAGGAGTCTAAATGTACACACAAAGATCTTTCAGTAGATAAGGTCACACAAGTGGTGAGGGAAGCTTTGCTGTAGGATCTCTACAAATGCACGGTTACAGTATCGTGCAAAAGTATCTAAAAGTATTTTTGAAGTATTATATGCATTAGACATCACGTAGGGATACATATATATATTTTTTTTCAATTTTTCAAAGTATTAAAAATGTTGTGCTTATTTATCTTTTGAGCTGTCGACAAACTGAATTTATTGCCCATCCTTTATTTGAAGAAGTAGTTGAAGTTCAGTCAGATTACATGGAGAAAATCTGTGCACATCAATTTAAAATAATATATATGCTTTAGTCTGAAACTATTCAACTGTAGATCTAATTTTATGATTAGGATTATTTTCCTATGGAAAAGGATATTCTGTCATCTTTATATTAGCACAGATTTGTGGAGTGTATAATGAATATTTGCTCTGTCCACGGCTTCTCCCGCCTCAGCTGTGGGTCTCTGCTCTGTTCCAAATTTGTCAAAGATCTCTTGGCTACTTCTCTGATTAATTAATTTTCATATTGTTGACTGGACCTTTAGGTTTTAAGGATCTATGTGAAATTCTTAAAGCTTGAGATATAGTTTCATACATTAACTATTCTTTGAACTTCTCCAATAACTTATCCCCAACTTGTCTGGTGAGGCAATTTGTTGGATTCTTTTTCATATGGTGGTATAAAACAAAAAGAAGCTGGATAAAAATACATCTGACCATTTTTTTTAATAATCTTTTAATTTCCCTAAACATTACGGTTTTCTGTTAGCTCGTGTGGGTTTGTCACATGAAATCCAAATATGATACATCGATTTTGATAAAATGTGAAAACTTTGCAAGGATTGCGGATGGCGAGGATTCTCTAGAGCTTCTTATGAAGTAAAGCATTTCTGAAAATTGTATTTAAATTTAGCTTTTAGCTGGTGTGTGTCTTTGCCTCCACATAAAGATCCCTTTTTGTGTTCTTCCAGACTCCACACACATGCTTGTGCCATAAAAAGATGCAACGTCTTGTGGTTCTCAGCACGGGAGAGAAAGTGATTTCCCTCGTTAGTGACTTCACATGCAAATCAAATTTTTCTGTTATGGCAAGAATAGGATAAGCTGCTGCGCTGGCACACTCTTGGATTGTATGTATATGCACGTATTAATGATCCCACACACACGCATACACACACACACACACACACACACACACACACACTCCCATGCACATCTCATAATCTGAAATAAAAGAATCCCAATTTTCCAGGTGCAGAGGTCTGTGGTGAGGAGTTGGAGCAGCTCATACAGAAACCACATCACTCTCCATCAGGGCTGTCGAGAGCGTGAGCTATTATACCATCCACACACATATGAGTGGAGTTTGCCACTCGAAAGAGAGTGTGATGGGGCCTGAAAAGCAAAGTAGTGGGAGTGGGATTGTGCTTGATCAGCGGCAAACTAAGTTCATTGTCATATCCTATACTGTCTTTGCTTTTCTCGTGTTGCAGTAATATGATGCAAACTGACTTCAGAGGCATGAGGCGTGTGGCATGAAAGGGCCCTGAATGTCTACGCATCCTCTTAGATCAGTAGAATAACGCATTTTAGCTCCAGTTGCGCGTCTTCTTAAGAGTGTGACTGGAAAGAAACTCCACTTTATCTCACAATGAGGCCGTTAGAAGTGCATATAGGTAGTTAAATTGTGCATTTGTCTCTTATGCAGCACTCTCTCACATGGGTGGTGAAAAAAATAAATAAATGAGAAGAACAAATGATTATTCGCTCTGCTCTTTCCACCCACTGTAGTCACTGAGAAAACTGGATTTAGTCAGACAGCTAATACACACACACACACGCACGCACGCACGCACGCACACACACACGCACGCACGCACGCACGCACGCACGCACGCACACACACACACACACACACACAGAGTGACTCAACGTGTTTATACTGTGTCTGGATGAAAAGGACTCCGGAGGCCTTCTCCTCTCACACAAAGCAAATACCTGCCCTGGAATAAGATATTGATTTGTCATTTCCCGCAGCAGAAGATTGGTAAATAGGCTAAGCAGACATGTGAACGTCGGTATGTGAAGCCTGGTTGTCCAGTTGGAGTCAGAGGCCTTAAACTTTGATAGTGCTGCTGCATGGGTCCTGTGTCTTTCATGCACAGAGATAAAAGCGCACACAGTTTCTATTTAGTGTTTACGCAGGGAGTCTCTTGTTTTCATTCAATACAAATCTAGCATTTATTCACGGCTGCTGAATCCTATTTCCACAGAACGAGCCATAACGCTCTGCTCCGTGTCGATACAAATGCTTCGGCTTCTTGTTGTGTCAACCGAGGCAAAATTTGGTTCACAGTTTATCGACGACGATGAGAGCAGCAGGGAGTGTTAGATCCTCTAATAAGAGTTTCTGCTTATTTGCAAGAAATAAATAGACATGCAGTTGTTGCCATCGGGTCTCTTTCATTTTGCTGTAGTACATGACTAATAAATAAATATAGTTCTAGTGTTACTGTACCTCGCAGAAGTTGTCATACAAAGAAATGCTAAGATACATTTCCTTGCATCTTAGCAAAAAATCTCAGTGTATTTTATCAGGATCTGATGAAACAGACCAAGACAAAGTAACGTATAATTATAATCAGGAATGAAAATGACATGCTATTCAGTTTTGTTTTGTTTTTAATTTATTAACAAACAAAATTCTGAAGAGTGACTTACCTTTTAATTTACGCTTCTTGTAGCTTTACTTTATAAAGCCACATTTCTTTGCATTTATGGCTGCAAGTCATTTGTGGCATGTCTCTCTCTACCAGCTATGAACATTGTTATTAACTTTTGTCCATTTGTCTTCACAAAACAGCTAAAGCTCAGGAATCTTAGATGGAGAGTGTCTGTGAATACTAATTCCCAAGCCTTACCACAATTTTCTAATTGAATCTGGAGTTTAACTAGGCCATTTTAACCTGAACATGCTTTGACATAAATAAGTATATTGTAGCTCTGGTAGCACGTTTAGGATAGAGGCCCTGCTGGAAGGTGGGGAAGGGGTGCACAGGGTGCTGAGTATTTTCAGTTGGGTCTTTCACAGAGGGGCTGTATTACCTGAGAATAATTCATGCCCAGATGTGAGTTCGCTTTTCAGATTTTTTTTTTTAAAGCTTAAGAATAAAGTGATTTATACTTGATTTATAATTATCCACTACTTTGTGTTGGTCAGCAATATAAAAAAATCTAATAAAATGCACAAAAGTTTGAGGTTGTGATGTGACAAAATATATATATAAAAAATGTATTTGTTTGCAGGCAAAATGACATTCAAGCATTCAAACAAGCCATAGGCACATGGATAGCTGGATTTGTAAAAAAAAAATGGTATTAAAAATCACTAAGGAGAAAATACCTCAACTAAAAACCTAACATTTCTGTTTACTTTTATATCCAGCAGTCACTTAGCATTTCCTTAAAACAAATACTGTAAATTGTACAAGTCAGCACATCCAGAACTGACACAATGTGCTAGCAGCTATTTTGAGTTTTAGCGTGAATTCTATAACTTATTTTTAATGTACACATAAATTTAACTTTGTTGTTTTTGACAACATTTTACTCATCATTCTTCATTTAACGATATTTATTTTTTTATATTTGTTTTTTATGTGGATGTTGTTTTTGTGGTCCAAAAGAGTTCGAGAGAGCACTTCCATGCAGGGTACCTGCAATGGGTAATTTTTCCCACCAGGTGGCAGCAAACACCTGCAAAACTATCAGTCTGTTTGACGGAGACAAAGAGTATAGTGATATTGAGTCAAAAAAACATATTTTTTTTCAGGGAGAAAAAAGAGGAGGCTACAAATTAGAATTGTGGTTTGGACAGAACTGTAAGCCAATTCACAGAACTCCGAGTGTGGTCAATCACAGGAGACGTGCACTTAGAGGATGTATAAGATATCACAGAGAAACAGATATTTTTCAAAGTTTCATGAACAAACTTTTTTTTTCCGACCATATTTTAAATAAGGTGTTTTTTAAGTTTTTTTTTTTTTTTTTTTTAAACATAACTTTTCAGTAGAATAAAAGATTTACATGCTGGTTCACATTCTAATTCAGAAGGTGGCGGTAATGTTCACTTTCAGCTGTTTGCCAACCGCCTGTGAGATCAAAGAAGAAGACGAAGAAGAAGAAGGAAAAAAGAGAGCGAAAAGTTAGGTCCTAATATCCCTCCACCTTGGCAGAAGCTGCTGTTGAGGTAAATAATAGGAAGATGTTTAGATAAGCGTTGTTTGTTGCTTATTGTCATGATTCCTGTTGGAGAGACAAATGGCTCAGCGCATGTTATGCATATAAAACATTCCTAAAGCCCGAAGCTTTCACTTTCTGTTTCAGATTCTGTGCATGAGAGAAGTGGCCACTCCGCTATTACCTTTGATTTTGTTTAAAACCCTTGTAACGTTCTGACGTGTTAAGTCAATGAAGAATATATTAAACAGTTTGTGGTTTGTGATTCGTTTATTACATTTGTGAAAACTCACCAACCGGGGGGGTTTAAAGCTGTTTTGTTGCTCCTTTGCTTTTGACCACATTTCGGGGGGTATTCCTTTAAACTTGGATTGAGATTCTATAAAACACAGTTAGCAATATGTGAAACTGCTGTTGAATTTATTATATTACAACAACAAAACAGCTTGAAAACTATTATCACCTGTGTAGTTCAGACCTGGATAGAGTTATTCTACACTAGGGTTGTACAAAGTGCGGTTAGTGGGCCTTTTGTGGCCTTTGGGATAAATTTGTGTGGCCCCTTGGCTGCAACTCAAGAATGGTACAGATTTGGCCCTGCGGTAAGCTGATAATTTACACTCATCGGATTTTTTAAAATGATTTTTTTCAGATATAAATCTTCAATTAAAAATGTTGTTACAACACAGTAGTTTCCTTTGTATTATTTGTGTGAGGTTCTTCTTTTTATTTATTTTTTATTTTAATGTAGTAAGTAGGACCAAAAAAACATCTGGCATCTTTTTACTCGACAGCAGACAGAGGCACAGCCATTCGTTGAACTTCTTCATCAAGGATAAAAAAACAAAACAGTTTTAATTAAAAATAATCTATTAATTTTTGGTACTGAGGAGGTGTTGATCCAGAAGTGAGCATCAAGAAAAAGGTAAAGATCTTTTCAGGTCTCATTACATTGGAAAATAGTGCAATGCAGTAATTAAAGTGGGCTGTAAAATCTACACAGCATGTGTAGAAAAATCAATCAAGATTTGAGTGATGACATATTTATTTGGGTTTTCACAAATTAAAGGTTTTACAAATCACAAACTAAACTTTAATCCATCATCTAATCAAAAGCTAATCGGTGCTCCAAATGCATCGGCTGTTCAACACAAAACGCAGTGTTCTGTTGGAGAGATTGCATTTTTAGTACATTTGGTGTTGTTCAAGGTTGTACATGTGGGATAAACTCATAAGTAATCCTATAGCTCATTTTTTACAAACTCTTGAAGCTTTTATAGTTTCTAGTTAAACAAACAGTAACTTTGCCAGTTTGGATCTCATTTTGCAGCATTTGCTCCACAAATCTATCCTGAGTCAACTTTTAGTCAGTATTTCCAATCCCCTAAACATTTTTAAACATTTTCACTACACCTGCGTAAACCCCAGGTGTTTATGCAGGTGTAAACTGTAAAACTGACGTTTTGTTAATAATCTTATCTCATTGCATGCCTTCCATTATTTACCCACTGGATCGATCAGCCATGGCTGAAGAAGCTGCAGATGTAGTTCATCTGCTTAAAGGCCAGAAGGCGACGCTGATAGAGATTCTCAGAGCGGACGCGGATTTTGTTGTGCAGCATGCACATTCCCGCTATCTGGTGTCAGATAAGGGCTACGAGAAGATTCAGTCATGTCGAGTTCCTAGTGAAAAGGTGCAAGAGCTTTTGGATCATGTCATCTGGAGAGGGCCCGAAGCAGCGCAAGGAATGTTGGACCTGCTGAAGGAAAAAGAGATCCAGGAGACATTTCCCAAGCTTGATTTTGTTAAAGATCTGCGTGTGAAAACACCGTTATCAGGTACAAAGAAAAAGCTGCGTTTTCAAGAGTCTTATCAGTAAATGTTTGTAAGATGCCAAATATGAGCATATCTTTTCATTTACAAGTTGAAGAATCCGAATTACAAGGTCCCACGCCAGCTAAAAAGGCCCTCCGCAAAGGTGAGTCCCTCTTCCAGTGAAATGTTTTCCCTCTAAAAGTCAAACCATCTTTCGCGACATCTGCTTCTCTGCTGGTTATTGTTTCACAGGCTGTGGCAGGGTGACAGAGAAGCAGCTGATGATTGTGGCTCAGGGCCTTGGCAGTAACTGGAGGCAAATCGGCATACAGGGTCTGGGCATCAAGAATGTGAAATTGGAGCAGATTGAAGAGGAGAAAAGAACCTACGTGGAGCGAGTCTTTGCCATGCTCATCTACTGGAGAAATCAGAAGAAGGAAAAAGCCACAGCCGCTAACCTGCACTCCCTCCTCAGTCAGGAAGATTTAGAAGTTCCTCCTGAGAGCATCGAATGTCTACTGGAGACTGACTGAGGTCTTCCCTCAAAGAGCCTGAGCACTTTTAAAGAAAATGTGTTTTTTTTCCCAGGGAGGAGTGGGTTTCTTTCCACAAAAAACAGAAGAATAGACTTTTATGTAAAGATTTGACTATACTTTTTAATACTTTTGTATTGCATTTGTTTTTGTTTCTGTTTTTTTTCATGATTTAATAAATCTATAGTCTCTCCGTAATTCACTTATGCTCAGAAAATCACTGATCGTTCTTCACAAGTTATGTTAAATTTATCTAGCAAGGAAAATATGTTAAAAGATTCTCTTGAAATATATTTATTCGGTGAGATAAAAAAAAAAAAAAAATTCTCAAAAATATAATGGTGTTACAGCACAAATCTGGAACAAACTTCCAGAAAACTGTAAAACAGCTGAAAAACTGAGTGCCTTTAAATCTCGACTAAAAACCCAGCTGGTTAGAGCTGTATTTGAAACGTTAGCAATTACC